ACCCGAGGCCAGGCTTGACTTGTGAGTGTTTGGTCCACCAGGCTGTTGCTTGGAGCGGCCCGCAGGCCCACATACCCACCTCAGCCCGGTTGGTCCGGCACTCCTTGGAGGAATAAATCTAGTTTCCTCTTGAAAATGTCCAGTTGTTCCGGCAATATTTCTTATGCTCGCTGGGAGGGTGTTGAACAACCGGGGACCTCTGATGTTTATAGTGTTCTCTGATTGTGCCTATGGCACCTCTGCTCTTCAATAGTTCTATTCTGCATTTTCTTCCATATCGTTCACTCCAGTACAGTACGTTGTTATTTTACTGTGTAGATTTGGTACTTGGCCCTCAATATCTTCCAGGTGTATATTATTTGATATCTCTCTAGTCTTCTTTCTAATGAGTACATTTGGAGGGCTTTGAGACGATCCCAATAATTTAGGTGCTTTATCACGTCTATGCGTGCCGTATCTGTTCTCTGTATTCCCTCTATTTCAGCAATCTCTCCTGCTCTGAAGGGGGAAGTGAGTACTGAGCAGTACTCAAGACGGGACAACACAAGTGACTTGAAGAGTACAACCATTGTGATAGGATCCCTGGATTTGAAAGTTCTCGTAATCCATCCTATCATCTTTCTGGCTGTCACAATATTTGCTTGGTTATGCTCCTTAAACGTTAGGTCGTCAGACATTATTATTCCCAAATCCTTTACATGCTGTTTTCCTACTATGGGTACATTTGATTGTGTTTTGTACTCTGTATTATGTTTAAGGTCCTCATTTTTACCGTACCTGAGTACCTGGAATTTATCACTGTTAAACATGTTATTTTCTGATGCCCAGTCGAAAACTTTATTAATATCAGCTTGAAGTTTTTCAATGTCTTCAGCCGAGATAATTTTCATACTGATTTTTGTGTCATCTGCAAAGGATGATACGAAGCTGTGACTTGTATTTTTGTCTATATCTGATATGAGAATAAGGAAAAGCAGCGGTGCAAGGACTGTACCCTGAGGTACAGAGCTTTTAACTGCACTTGGACTAGATTTTATATGGTTGACCGTTACTCGCAGAGTCCTGTTTGACAGAAAACTGAGTATCCAGCGTCCTACTTTACCGGTTATTCCCATTGACTTCATTTTGTGTGCTATCACGCCATGGTCACATTTATCGAAAGCCTTTGCGAAGTCCGTGTATATCACATCAGCATTCTGTTTTTTTTCTAATGCCTCACTGACTGTTTTAGTGCTCAAGTAGCTGTGAGAGGCACGATCTTCCCGCTCGAAATCCATGTTGGCCTGGGTTATGAAGGTCATTGGTCTCCATGAAATTGGTAACCTGACTCCTAATCACTCTCTCAAATACTTTTATGATGTGCGATGTTAGTGCAACTGGTCTATAATTCTTTGCCAATGCTTTGCTCCCTCCCTTGTGTAGAGGCGCTAGGTCTGCTACTTTAAGTGCATCTGGTATCTCCCCCGTGTCCAAGCTCTTCCTCCACACTATACTGAGTGCCTGTGCTACTGGCACTTTGTATTTCTTTATAAATATTGAATTCCATGAGTCTGGACCTGGGGCCGAGTGCATGAGCATGTTTTCAATTTCTTTTCAAAATTTAGTGCGCTCGTGTTGATATCAGTTATATTTACAGGGGTTTGAAACCACACTGGGAGACGAGAACGACCCCCACACAAGTCAGAAATAGGCCGACAAGCAATGGCAATGGCCACAGAAGACAAACTGGGAAACAATATCCTCAGGAAATAGGCGCGAGGAAAAGGGAGAAGCGGAGATGGGAGTCACGGTCCACTCAGAGTCCAAGGGCCAGGCCAGCACAGCCTGCCATCATGTGAGACGAGAAGTGAAAAAAGCAGCCATCGCCTCATGAAGGATTGGAGCATACAGCTTAAGAGCCACTGATGTAGAAGAAACAGAGACCAAAACCCATGCACGAGGTACCTCACCGAGCACTCCAACATCCTCCATGAGCCAATCGCAATGAAGCTGCTGGAAGCTCAAGAAGTGTAGGACAGGACCCAAGTACGGACGGACATGAGGGTTGTCAGCAACTAACAGCCAACAGCGGAGGGATTTGAGCATGCAGATGCACGAGACATCCCTGGAGCAGAGGCAGGCACCGAGAGGTTCCAAAGAGACCCCACAAACACCTATAACACAGATGCCTACCACCACTCAAGCGTGCAGGAATGACATAGTCCATGCCACATGGGTAAACAAAGGACAGTCTGCCAGCCAGGATGATGCCAGAACTTTGTAATGTACCCAAAAAGGGCAAGAAGAACTGAACTCAACAAAGCCCATTGTACAAAATAGAACACCAGAGTGCAAGGAAGAAGCCTCAGAAGAGGGGGGCCGGCTGGAAAGACCCAAGACCCTGGCGGTATGAGTAGGCTCAACTGCCTCCGCACCTAAATCTGAAGGAGCAAACTGAAATCAAAACCAAATCTGCAGACCAAACCAGCCGAGTCAACCAACACCTCCAAATCAGAGACCCTACCTTGAGGTGTTTTCGGAGCTTAGCGTCCCCGCGGCCTGGTCGTCGACCAGGCCGCGGTCGACGGCCTGGTCGACGGCCTGGTGATCCTAACCCTAGCACTAAATCAAGGGTGGGGTAAATCAAGGCCAACCAACCAGGCACACAACATAGACAGCTGCAATACACAAATGTAAAGCAGTTGCTGCCAAATACCCTGGAACATCAACAGGAGGGCAGGGAACAAGAGAAATGTGTGGGGAGTAAGTCCCACACAACTCAGGATTGAAGGTGTCACTGACCCAGAAGGCAGCAATACAGAGGCAGAAAACTGAACATCGCCTGGCAGCACGACAATGGAAAACACTCAAATCTGCACAAAGCATGAGCGAGTAAGGGAACAGTCTCTATAGTACCACCAAACCTTCAGGGGTTTTCCACGGGCTGTAGGGCGAATGTTCCTGACAAGTATGCCCAGACACAGGGAATGTTACGCGGGTAACCCCTATATACAGTAGTATTATAAGCACTCTCGAAACTTAATGCCAATGGAAAGGGCAAAAAGAGACCAAAGGGGATGATCCACACCCAGATTAGGGGGGGCATATTACAAAAATATGCTATAAATAAAAACTGGTTCGATTTCAATCAAACTTTTTTGACTAGTTGTATATAAAATTGACTGTACTGGTCGAAGTATCAGCATCGTAGCATAAATAGGGAGGGAGAAAAAAATATTGAATTATGTGTCCAAAAAAAATTCCAAAATGGTCAAAAATTATCAAACAAAAGTGTCAACTGAAATCATGTCTATGACTCTAAGCTATCACAATAGCACATAATAAAGTATATTAATATTTAGTTTCATGCCCCCCAAAAAAAAATCAAGAAAAAAAAATAGATTTTTTCCTTTTTTTTTCTTTCTCGATTTTTGTTCTCGTACATGTACTTTTATCAGCCAATTTGCATGATACTTATACACCTTACAGAACATAAGCCTATCTGTAAGGATGCAAATTTTGGATGAAATTGGTTGAAGTCAACTTTAACCACAGGTGGCAGAATATTTGATCTTATTTATTGTCAAGTAACAAAATTACTTAACAGCTTTCATTTTTTTTTTTATTTCCATGAAATTTACACCTTGTATGTAGAGTTTACATCTCTACAAACATTATAAAACACTTTTTTCCTAAGTTCATTTACTGATTTTATAAATAATTTCAAACATGAAATATAGGCATATATTTTTGGGGAACTTTGACTACTTGTATTAGTAAAACTAAACATTTTAGATAATCCTTTCTATAGAAATTCTTTATTATATGCTAATATGATATACCAGTGTCAGAAATTATTTCATTTGAAACTTGTGGTTGTGAAGATTGAAAATGTGTAAAATTTGTTGGAAAAAACTAAAACAAAAATAACTTCCTTTCTATTTAGGGTGCGATACTGAAACATAGAACAGTTGCAGCCCTTCTTATATACAACTAGTAAAAAAAAGTTTGGTTGACATTAAACATTTAAAAAAGCGTAATACGTCCCCTTCGTAAAACTTAAGAGCTGGAAACGTACGAATAAAATCCTGAATGATATGCGGCACAAACGAAACTAAAAGCCCCTGAAAAAACTGAAAAATTAAAACAAGGACCGCAAACTCTCAAGGCCCCACACCATGGATAACAAGGAAGAATTGTAGACCGAACCAGGTATATAACACTGGAAGGACTACCTTGGCGTGCCCGCAATGTTGCGCAATTTCTTACAGTACACCCCACCAGCCAAAAACACCCCCGACCCAAGGAAAGACAAACCGTCCAGGGCCCTCCCTAAAAGAGTGAAATCCTAAACACTCCAGGAAAGATAATCCTAACAGTGTAAGAGCAGCACTAAACGAACACATAAGGAAGGTAACCCTGAGCACATGCAGCTCCAAGTAAACTAAACTCCTGACTCATGCTGCACAATCGTGTACAGGAAAACCTCAAAATACAAAACACCATCTAGCCTAAGACAGGAGACCAGAACCTGGAGCCAGAGTAAACTCAGAGGGCGACCAGGAGCAGTACATACAGGTATCAGCATAAGAACTGGAGCAGCAGCTGGCTGACCTGGTCTGCCTCCCTCCTCCACCAAAATGATAGGAGAAAGGGCAAAGTAGCTTGTGCTAGTTCCATGAACCATGTCATTTGTTGACATTGTTAGGGAGAGTTGTTTTGACTGTTTTGAAGCTACGGTTTCATTTCTAGCCAGAGGTCTGTTTTTTTCACCAAATTTCTGGATGCCTTTCCTTGTTTGGTTGCAGGCATGAATAAATTTATACAAAAATTTTCATAGTGCCACTGCTCAATGCACCTCTCTGAGGGAGCCAGGTTCTGGCTCTGTCCCCGGTAGGCCAAAAAGAACTCTACATTTGATGGCAACTTGTAGCCTGGTACTATATCAACAGATTAGCATTAGGAAGCCACAAGGGGTGTTTCCCTCAGAAAAGACCTAGTGCAACTATAACATGACTCACCTGTTCAAGACATCTCATGGTTTCGTTAAGAGATGTTACCGGAATCTCGGTGAGGCCAATGATTTTGATGCCCTCCTTAGGATCTTCCCTTATATCGACAGCACATTCTTCTCTACTTCTTGTGCTCAGAAGGTCAAACAGGGTCTCCTTGTAGAGCTAAAATGTAAAATTCAACAATTCACAATCCAAATTTTGGAAAATATCACATTAAAAACCATGTATCAAATTATGATTGCACAAATGCAAAGATTATTGTACAGTAATTGCAAACACTGTATATGTCATCAGGAATATTACATACCTCAATGAATGAGACCTTGACCAAAAATTCACAATCTCCTTTACCGGTGACCCCACGGAAGATGTCTTGCACAACGCGAGGTATGACTCCAGCCTCGTCTTCATCATATTCACCTTGTGTGTAGGCTGTGCCCATTGTATGTGTCTTTCCTGAGCCTGTCTGCCCATAAGCTACCACAGTCACATTATAACCTGAAAATATTCACAAACCACAAATTATTTCTGGTTTTCAATCAATTTATACAGTAAATACATTTGAAATACAGTATCTTTCCTAAAAACAGTAGAGCAAAATACTGTAATATATAGCAGTGGAGTAGAGCAGCCACACAGCACACCCTGGGGAGCCGGTCGGCCGAGCAGACAGCACACTGGACTTGTGATCCTGTGGTCCCGGGTTTGATCCCGGGCGCCGGCGAGAAACAATGGGCAGTTTCTTTCACCCTATGCCCCTGTTACCTAGCAGTAAAATAGGTACCTGGGTGTTGGTCAGCTGTCACGGGCTGCTTCCTGGGGGTGGAGGCCTGGTCGAGGACCGGGCCGCGGGGACACTAAAGCCCCGAAATCAAGATAACCTCAAGATAACCTAACCCTCAAGCAGCTGGGCCAAGAGCTTAAGTATAAGCTCCACGGACACTACACCCACACACTTGAACCTGTTGGAAAACTCTCAATATTCCTTCAACAAGCAGCACTACAAATTTTAGGAGGTAAAGGTGAGAAGGCATTCTCTGCAAACACACAACGTAACAGTTCCTATGATTCCCTCGTTACAACATATAACAAGATGTAACAACTTTATCACAACATTCTTATGAGGTATTGGAATGTTCTTACAACTTGTTATATTGGTTGTTACAACTTGTTAGGTGTTAAAACATGTTCAAACGATGTAGCAACATCGTAGGTTTGCTGTGTTTGGCAGGATTACCACTAACCCAAGTATACTTCACTCACAACCAGACACTTTCACCATCACTTATCTAGTTCACTAAAGCCTGTGCTGTTATTTTCATCATATTCAACTCCCTAACCAATATCTTCCTCCTCTACATGGTCAGGAGTGTGTGGGTGCTGTGCCACCTACTCTGCAGGTGGTTCTTTATTGATCATTTCCAAGTCTGAATTATCAGACGAAGGCTGAAATTTGTGGTCGCTGCCTGACAAATGTTCAACTTCATCACTAAAGAATACCTTACTATTCTACAACAATCTGATCAATTTGTTGAACAAGAGTTGTTCTTACAACTCTATAACAATTATGGCCCTGCAGATGGAAGCTTGGGTAGAGGGTGAGGATGTTGGGAGGGTATGGAGGGCAGAGAAAAGGGTGTAGGGATGGGGCAAGGGAGGGGGTAGGGATGGGGCAAGGGAGGGGGTAGGGATGGGAAAGGGGCTTTGGGGATGGAGAAGGGGCAGGAGTGTTAGGGTACACAAGAGAGGCCGGAGTAGGGATATGGAGGGGGGGAGGGCATGGGGGTGAGGTCCAACCCTCACTGCAGGGGCACTGAGGGTTGGACAGGGCAATAGAGGGGGGGAGGGGGAAAGGGAGGGGGGAGGGCATGTCTCACACCCCCTTCTCATGTGGTGTATTAAGGTCTCTCGCCCCTCTCATAATGATCTTGAGTGCCCGTTGACTGGCATATAAAACAAAGAAATAAGGACTGCTCCTGAACAAAGCCTGGACACCTCACACTGAAGAATAATTTTGAACAAAATGTCCACTTTTTTAAATCTATTTGCTGTCTATTTATAACCTATATTTTTTGTCTACTTGTTCATAAAAGTATTTTCATGTATTTATTTGTATATTTTCTATATTACCTGTGTACAGGAAAAAATGTAAATGTTTATCACTCGGAATGATAAGTAATATGAGGATTGTTTGTGGCGACTTTATATGTGAATAAGTATTGAACAGGGCAAAAAATAACTTGAGCTACCACATCCCTTTGTGTGTGTTCATATATCCTGATAAACTTATTTCAATTTTGAAGAGTACAATTTGAGTGCATTGAGGCAATCTGAGTAATGATTCTAGGCAAACAGTAAAGGATTTCTGCATCTTTCTTTTATTCGTTATCTCACCTACTTTGACAAAGCACGTGTGGACTGAACAATATGTATGCACCCACCTTCCAAATCTGAACAGGCTCCTTAACAGATCCCTCTAAATAACAAAATCTGCTCCCCACAAATTCCCTCCAAAATCCAAATTAAAACAAAAAATAAATCAGAAGGGAAACTACTATTTTATTTGTAAATATTATTCAATATATTATAGTGTTAAGTTTATATACTGTACTATAAAATCCACAAGCACTTTTCTGAGGCATTCAGACCTACTTTGAGGGCCATGCACACAGACAGCATTTTCCTTTACATGCAAGTGCCATGTAACCTTATGGTGCTCAAGCTCTTACACTGGCTGTTATTGTGTGGTAATAGTTGTACAAGTACTTCCTTGTCATGGATGATGAGGCAAAGGTACTAGAAAATCGTGGTTGTGGCTGGTAGGCGTATAGCATTAATATAGGTGCTGTTTCACAAAGCATATTTAGCAGAGCATATAGTTTGTGAATAAAATGAAAAGCAGTAGTGAAAGGAAAAGTGACAGTGAAACCTTCTAAGCACTAGGATTTGGATGATGCTGTTTACCAATGATTTATGAATCACTGTAGCCCAGAGCTGACTATTGGAGGTATCAAAATAAGTTGCAGTCTATAGCTGAAAGAACTGAGCATTGTGAACTTCAAATCCAGCTCAGGGAGACAGCAAAGTTTGACAGACAGTGTGACATAATATAATAACTGTATTTTGCTGCCTCTGGGTTACCAAGACCAGCCTGTGCAACCAAACACAAGTGAACAAATGTTTGCTTCTTATTGTTCCGTGTATAATTATTTATATGCACACAATCATTATTTATACATAACTGCATTTGAAAATTGCAATTATTCAGGCTCATTGATCAGGTACCAGAACAATATGATGCAGATTTTTGGAAGGTGCAGTGTGTTGTATATTATGTATAGGATAATATCAGTGATTAGAAAAGTACAATCATTGGTATGGCATATTTTTTGCCACTCATTAATCACTAATTTTTGTTGCTTTTGTTGTTTGCTTTATTGTGATCTCTAAACACAATGTCTTCCAATATCATTATTCCAAGATGTTTTTACTAGTTTGCTTCACTCTACGATAAGATTTGACTATTTCATAACCTGAACTTTTAAGATCTTCATTTCCTTTTCTTTTTTTGTATTGAAGCAGTTGAAATTCGTCACCATTGAATGCCACTTTCACATTGCTTATTTACAAATTATCCTTGAAAAATATTTTATTAAGGCAATGTTGACATACCTTCCAAGGTGAGCATCTCAACCAAACAATTTTATCTCAACTCATACTGTATAACTATACTAAATTAACTACAAAAGATTAACCTGATTGATTGGGGAACTTTACTAACCTTTAAATAAATTCTGAACCAAGCTTTTCACAGCAGTCTCATACACCTCAGCTGTTGAAGACTCTGATGCATATGTGTAGTCAAACGTGAACGCTTTCTCCGTTCCTCGCACAATAATCTGTGAAATATATCATTTTAATATTACAAAAGATTGTTTTCTTTCAAAATATTTTTCTTAGAAAACAATATTACGCGAACAGTTTCTACCAACATCAATGGCGTAATTCAAGGATGAAGTATAAAAAAAAAAAAATTGAAATGTTGATACATTCCTGACAGGTGAGAATAGATGGACAAAATATTAAACAGGAATGGAATAGCAAACAGAAAACAACAAGGGTCTATGAATGTGTAGACAAAAAGTGCCTTTCACAGCAAGCCACACAATCACTAATGTGGGCAATGCCGTCCTCGCCACAATAGCACCAGGTCTTCCTGGTGCTATTGGTGCAGTGGAAGATAACAGTCTTCCACTGTAGACAAACTATACAAACATCCTCACTAATTTCAAGACCTATTTGCAGCATTCATTTGTATTTATTTTACACAAATGTTACTTATTTTTAATTATTGTATTTATAGACACTGAATTTACAAGGTACAATACAATGTTTTGTGAATTACAAATTTTGGTGATTAAATGGTACATTCTTCCACAGCCAATAACAAACATTGGGGGGTCTGGTAGCCAGGCGGACAGCGTGCAGGACTCGTAATTCTGTGGCCCGGGTTCGATTCCCGGACCAGGCAGACACAAATGAGCAGTTTCTTTCACCCGTTACCTAGCAGTAAATAGGTACCTGGGAGTTAGACAGCTGTTATGGAGCTGCTTCCTGTGTGTAGGGGGGGGGGGAGAAAAAAAATAGTAGTTACAGTTGAGAGGCGAGCCGAAAGAGCAGAGTTCAACCCCCGCAAGAACAAATAGGTGAATACACACACACACACCGTATCGGTAACTTGGACAACATTTGCATAGGGAAGCACAATATGCAGTCATTTTGAAGTAGAAAACATATATTAAAAATCGATCACAATCGACTTGATAATGGTCCAGGACAGACTGAAATGTCATCATCTCTTCAATTTCTAGTGTATGGTTTGGTCAACATTTGTTGGCCAAATTATTGTGACATCATCTGCCTATGTTAAAATTTGAGCGTGTATAAATACTGTAGCACAAATATTACAAAAATTGCTGCAATACATGTACTGTACCTATATTGTATTAATTCTATATTATCTACATTCATCATTATCGCCTAACAATTTGTCATCCATGCCCTGCCATTGTACTGAACTTCATAATTCCATTATACTGTATTTCTAACTACTGTACAGTAATTCTGTTATGGAACGATTGTAACTATTTCCACTTACCACTACTATAACCACCTTCAATATTCATTGTTACATTACAAGTCATTATTTGGCGCCATCCATAATTATATCCATCCTTGTTCCCTTGCCAATTAGAAGACTGTATATGTACTATGCTACTGTACTTCCTCAATGAAAGAAGAAATCTGAACACTAAAATTGGCAAGCCACTAACAATTAAATGATTATTGTACATGTTATGACTTAGTTACGGTAAAATCGAACACAGTAGTGGGTACTGATGGATATACACAAAACATTTACAAACCTGAGGGGAATTATCAGCTACATCAAGACATTCTTGGCATCCTTCCCGTGTCTCTCTTCCATTAAGCGGCCGTATACGCACAGCCACCCTCACAGGGATCACCTTCGCACAAGCGCCTTCTTCCATTTTCATCCTGAAATTAAACAAAAAGTTAATAAGTTATAGTATCGACAAGCTTAACCCTTAGGCTGCCATTATTGTCTATTGACGATCCTTAGTGGACTGCGGGTATCATCAAAAGATAATTATTCTCTGGGTTTTACATGCATGATGCAACTATGGATATAATAGCTCTCTGTGGATGTAAATAAATAACAAGCAAGTGATAAAACAATTGGTGCAACATCTGAAGCTAAAATAGGAAGTGTTAGAAAAGTCGAGCACCAGGCGTAGACCCACAACTTTCATATACAGTATTCATGTACAAATGCCAAGCAATATTTAATAAAACTTACAAGATTTGATAAAATCTTGTAAGAATTCAAATTACTATATTTATCGGCGAGAACTTTACCTTCATTTTTCTCTATGAACAGGATTTCAACTTTGAGAAGTTACAAAATGCAGTTTCAGAGCTATTCTCACCATTTTTACATTATGTGCAAGATACTTAGTTCTAAGGAGTCATAAAAAGCATTTATTCATAAACCCATAACTTTGGGACTTTAAATTTTTTGTCTAAATTTGTGTATATTTTGAAGGCCACATTGACTTTTTTTTTTTTACAATAAAGTATACTCTAAAACTAGATTTTATATTAAGAAAATGAACGTTATATATATATGCCATCCTGAGCCCATAATGAATAAAATAAAAATTGGTGAAATATTAAATTTGTGAACTTAATTTGTGAAATTGTGAAATTTTCAAATTATTTAAAACTTTTTTACCTGTTCATGTTATGATATTGATCCATTAGGGAAAGTTGGAACATTTACCATGTAGATTATGCACAAAAAAATGCATGTTTGAGAAAGGATGAGAAATCATGGACCCGGCCCCATAATAAACAAAAATTATTTACATGTCAAAAGAAAGACGGAAATATAATCTATATGTAGACCCTCTACATGAATATATACTTTAAGTAAACCAGTCTATACTCTGTAGTTTAAATTATCCACAACCACATTACACAATATACTTTACTCGTTAAATTTTCCAATTTTGCTACAAATTACCTGCCTAAAATTATCTGTTAGATTAAGGAGCTACCCAAAATGCTATGCATATTAGACGCTTTACAAGACTGTAAAAACATCAATGATATGTACTCTCATTAACCCAATGTACCAATTAACCCAATTAACCCGACCGGCTCCCATTTAGGGAGCCGGTCGGCCGAGCGGACAGCACGCTGGACTTGTGATCCTGTGGTCCCGGGTTCGATCCCAGGCGCCGGCGAGAAACAATGGGCAGAGTTTCTTTCACCCTATGCCCGTTACCCAGCAGTAAAATAGGTACCTGGGTGTTAGTCAGCTGTCACGGGCTGCTTCCTGGGGGTGGAGGCCTGGTCGAGGACCGGGCCGCGGGGACACTAAAAAGCCCCGAAATCATCTCAAGATGACCTCAAGACATGTACCTTCTTATATACATACATATATAAATAAATAAATACCCGCGTCCACACACAAGACAAAGGGGTATGAGCACTTGTGGGGTACCTGCCCAGGGTAATGCATCGCTGGCTGAGGCTATATACAATACATTTATACAATACAATACACTGCTGGCTGGCTCTACAATACATTATTGTTTATTAATATGAAGCTGTTACTCATATATAGGACCGCTAAGTGCATCACCCGGAGTACTCTCCCACAGATATGTTACTGCTCTCGCCCCTCTCTCTCTCTCTCTCTCCCCATCACTCGACCCTCTCTCTCCCACAATCACTCGACCCTCTCTCTCCCACAATCATTCGCCCCTCTCTCTCCCCCAATCATTCGCCCCTCTCTCTCCCCCAATCATTCGCCCCTCTCTCTCCCCCAATCATTCGCCCCTCTCTCTCCCCCAATCATTCGCCCCTCTCTCCCCCAATCATTCGCCTCTCTCTCCCCATCACTCTCCGGGGCCACAATACCCATCCACCACTCGCCACACGGGTCCGCCACACACCACACAACCTGGCCTCACCACACACCAATATTTACATCAGGAAATCACTCACATCTTGCGCTTTTGGGATGATGTTGACGGGGTCATGGGTGAGGCAAGTTTAAATGTAGTGGCGGCGACGACGCATGCGCACACCTCACTACAGCGGCGGCGGCCAACACCTGCAGCGAACACTCCTTCACGCGGCCAACACCTTCAGCGATCACTCCTTCACGCGGCCAACACCTTCAGCGAATACTTGCACCTTCAGCGATCACTCCTTCACGCGGCCAACACCTTCAGCGAATACTTGTACCTGCGGCGGACACCTTTAGCGAACACTTGTACCTGCGGCGAACACCTTTAGCGAACACTTGTACCTGCGGCGGACACCTTTAGCGAACACTCGTACCTATTAAATTAAATAAAATTAAATATTTTTTTTTATTCGCGAAAAGTACACACATAGAAGATGAGTTACAAACAATGATGGATTTATAGATAGAGCTAGTATTGTACATACAATACCTAAAGCCATTAATACTAATTTTGCCCGAAACGCTATGCGTACTAGTGGCTTTAGGTATTGTATGTACTACCTCTATCTTTGTATGGGATATGTACTACCTCTAACAGAATGTTTGTACTGTAACTCTGCAACTATGTATGTACTTTTCCTAAATAAATTATTATTATTATTATATTATTATTATTATTATTAATACGCATAGCGTTTCGGGCAAGGTGAGGTGGGGGAAAAAATACTTAGACTAAATCTTAATAGTAATTAGGATTAAAATAAAAATTGTTGAAAAAGTAATAAAAAAAGAAAAAGGGGGGAGGGGAACATGGCAGAAATCAGCAATTGTACAATTTGGTCAACAAACAGCATAGTTTAATGGGTTGACATTTAGGGGGTAAGGTAGGTTACATGGAGTTATTTATGTAGTGCTTAGTTTTACTCTTAAACTGGTTGAAAGAGGTACAGCCTTTGACAAGATTGGGAAGGTCATTCCACATTCTGGGTCCCTTGAGTTATAGAGCATTTCTAGTTTGATTAAGTCGCACTCTTGGAGGGCTCACCTGCGGTGAACACCTTTAGCGAACATTTATACCCGCGGAGAACAGCTTTATCAAACACTCGTACTTTATCAAACACTCGTACATGTGGCGAACAAGACGGGAGACATCTCCCGTCAAGCAGGGTGCAGTCGCACCTCCACAGATCTCCAGTATCGTCTCTTGATACTGGTGATGGCTCAAAAGGGCCACCTCTTACGGGCTATTCATGCCCGTGCCACCTTTTGGGTGGCTTCATCTTCATCTTAACACATTCACAAGGGAGACATCTCCCGTCATGCAGGGTGCATTCGCACCTTCACAGATCTCCAGTATCAGCTCTCGATACTGATAATAAATAATAATAAATAAATGTTTATTCAGGTAAAGTACATATATACAAGAGGTTTTACAAAAATTTATAGATTTATAGATAGAGCTAGTATACATACAATGCCTAAAGCCACTATTACGCAAAGCGTTTCGGGCAGGAAAAACATTAAAGCCTAAAACTTAATACTAATTGAGATTAAAGTAAACACATTTTATACTTTAAACTCAATTAGTATTAAGTTTTAGTCTTGAATGTTTTTCCTGCCCGAAACGCTTTGCGTAATAGTGGCTTTAGGCATTGTATGTACTAGCTCTATCTATAAATCTATCGATTTTTGTAAAATCTCTTGTATGTATGTACCTTACTTGAATAAACATTTATTTATTTTATTTATTTAATAGAGCATCACCAGGGCAGGGCGAGGTACATAATATCTGATCTTAGTAATGGCTCTGGTTGTAATGGTAATGGCTCAAAAGGGCCACCACTTACGGCTATTCATGCCCGTGCCACCTTTTAACCTACCTTACCCCTCTATTGTCAACCCATGTATGTTTTTTGTTTTTTTGTTTTTCAAATCAACGCTGTTTTAATGTAATTTTCTGTAATAATTTGAAATTGTATTTGTGCTGCTTTTTCAACAATGTTCCCCCCTCTTTTACCTCTATTTTTATTTGTACTCAACACATTTTGTTCTTTTTACCCATTAGTTTTAAGCTTTAGTCATTAGTGTTTTTTCCTGCCCGAAACGCTTTGCGTAATAGTGGCTTTAGGCATTGTATGTACTAGCTCTATCTATAAAGCCAACAAACTTTGTAAAATCTCTTTATGTATGTACCTTTACCTAAATAAATATTATTATTATTATTATTATTATTTTGGATGGCTTAATCTTCATCAATCAATCAATCTGTGGCGAACACCATTAGTAAACACTTATACCCGCGGGAAACATCTTTTTCAAACATTCGTACCTGTGGCGAACACCTTTAGTAAACATTTGTACCCGCGGTGAACACCTTTAGCGAATACTTGTACACGCGTCGAACACCTTTATCAAACACTCTTACCTGTGGCCAACACCTTTATTGAACACTTGTACCCGCGGCGAACGCTTCCAACTAAATCTCATCCGCTGACTGACCCGTCCTGCCACTGTAACCCCTTTTTCACTTCGCCCGCCCACAGGATGGGTCCGCAAGGTTGCCAGATCCGAATTGCTGAAAGTAGCGAGCTGACGGTCTAAAAGTAGCGAATTTGTTATTAAAGTAGCCCAATAATTTGTTTAGCAACTGATACGGTTTTCATAACAATAAATTTGAATACGTAGAGTAACACTGCATGATTATACATACATCACTGCATGTATAACAAAAGTGATAACTGGATAACAAAGATTTGCTGCATGAAGCATAATTTACATTATATATGGGTGTCGAGTCCCTCCACGTCTAACACGGGAGACATCTCCCGTCACGCAGGGTGCAGTTGCACCTCCACAGATCTCCAGTAACAGCTCTTGATACTGGTAATGGCTCAAAAGGGCCACCACTTACGGGCTATTCATGCCCGTGCCACCTTTTGGATGGCTTAATCGTCATCTTGGACACATTCATGGGAGACATCTCCCGTCACGCAGGGTGCAGTCGCACCTCCACAGATCTCCAGTATCATCTATTGATACTGGAGATGGCTCAAAAGGGCCACCACTTACCAATTCATGCCCGTGCCACCTTTTGGGTGGCTTCATCTTCATCTTAACACATTCACAAGGGAGACATCTCCCGTTATGCAGGGTACATTCGCACCTCCACAGATCTCCAGTATCAGCTCTTGATAGTGGGAATGGCTTAAAACCACTTACGGGCTATTCATGCCCGTGCCACCTTTTGGATGGCTTAATCGTCATCTTGGACACATTCATGGGAGACAACTCCCGTCATGCAGGGTGCAGTCGCACCTCCACAGATCTCCAGTATCAGCTCTTGATACTGGTAATGGCTTAAAAGGGCCACCAGTTACGGGCTATTCATGCCCGTGCCACCTCTTGGGTGGCTTAATCTTCATCAATCATCAATCAATCTCCACGTCTTCACAGTTGAAGACTATCAAGAAAAGCTTGTACAGAGCTATGCAGAGGTCCGTCTGCTGATTCTTATATATTGCAGACTCACATTTTATCACTGACATGCGCGGTGTCAAATGATGAGCAACAAGTGTCTTTTTCCACGAGATATGTTTTGATTCTCAAGATTGATGTCAAAAGCTGTCGTCTCATTCGATTTCTCACTTTAGTTTTCCCAGACGTTGCTCTCTAAAATACTCGTTCAACCTGGGCATTGCTGATTGGTAAGCTGCATATTGTTTCCGGATATTCTAAAAAAAAAAAAAAAGCGAGAGTAACCCCAGTTTATGAATGATTTTACTGATGTCAAAAATTTCAGATCTATATCAATTCTGCCAATTCTTGTCAAAAATATTTGCAAAGCTAATCTACAAGCAGTTTTACTCTTATCTAGCCAAACACAATATACTTAGCTCTTGCCATTATGGCTTCAGACCCCAAAAAAGCACTAACGATGCACTGATTAGTATGATTAACTTGATACATGCAGATCTTGATAAAAATGAGTTCCCTGTTGGGTTATTTGTTGACCTGCGTAAAGCCTTTGACACTGTCAACCACCACAACCTTCTTAAATTACATCATTATGGAGTCAAAGGTCACTCCCTGCAATACCTTCAGTCCTACCTTAGTGACAGGCTCCAGTATGTTTCTGTGAATAATTCCATTTCTCCCACCCTACCCATCAACATTGGTGTTCCTCAGGGCAGCATACTTGGCCCTCTCCTCTTTCTCATCTACATTAATGACCTTCCAAATGCCTCTCAACACCTCAAACCAATTTTTTTTGCTGATGACACAACCTTCATTTACTCCAGTCCTGACCCTCTTGCTCTAAATGTCACAGTGAATACTGAACTAAATAAAGTCCACCTTTGGCTAACTGCTAACAAACTCACCCTTAAAATTGACAAAACCTTTTATATTTTGTTTGGCAATAAATCTTCAGATCAAATTAATCTAACAATAAACAATATCCAAATTAGTAACAAAGTAGATGATAAATTCTTTGGTGTCCTCATCGATAACAAGCTGAATTTCCAGGGACACATTCTAAATATTGCAAAAAAAAAAAATTAAAAGATTCTAAAACTGTTGGCATTCTTTCTGAAATCGGATATTATGTACCTCGCCGTGCCTTGATGACGCTGTTACCCTCTCATCCATCCTTATCTCAACTATGGTATTTGTGCTTGGGGTTCTACTACCCAGAATCATCTACGTCTAATTACTCAACACAAAGCTGCTATTAGAACAATATCAAACTCAGGCCCCAGACATCACTCGGTACCCTTACTCAAATCTTTGAATATGTTAGACATTAGGTCACTCCTGATGGTCATTAGGTTACATCAGGAGGCTGTTATAAACAGCCTCCTGATGCTTCGGAGCTCATTAACTGTTTATTAATTGTTAACAAAGCCGTCAAAGATTGAAAAAAGATGTACAGGTTCGTAAGTGCTTGCGCAACTGCTTCGTGACTGGCGATGTCATTTGTCCGTCACAAATGTTGGCTCAGTCACTTGTTAACGGTAGACGACCCATAGTTTCAATTTCACTAAGCTTAGACTGCTCAGCTAGAACTAATGGAAGTTTTGAAAATGGTGGCCGTGTGTGGCTAAGGCATATGCTAGGTGACAGATTTTTAACCGTTTTTAAAGTTTCAGCATTACTG